TGTGTGTGTGTGTGTGTGTGTGTGTGTGTGTGTGTGTGTGTGTGTGTGTGTGTGTGATATTCCACAATGTTTGTTCTGCTGGACATCTATTTCCTTTTTCCACACAAAGCAGCAAAGGCCCCACACGTTCCCCAGGGTCCCAGAATTCTTGAGTGTTAAAGCTTCCATTAGAAATTACATTTTGTGGCTTTGATCAAAGACTTGTTTTTACCTGGATCTCCATGTGTCCTGGGCTCTTCCCTTTATTTCTTAATTTTAATTCTGAAAAGACAGCTATGACTATGGATGTCCACATTCATCCAAAGCCTCTGTGGTAGGAAATTGCTGACCAGCATAATATTCATTGTCTTTGCCCTATCTAAATTGGACCTGGGAGAATTTCTACATTGGCTGCTGAAGCATAAAAGGCTCCACGTTGGAACATTTTCCTGCAAGAAGCCATAGTTCACACATAGCTTAATGCCTGTAAAGAAAATTGCCCCCAAGTGGTGAGCTGTGACTCCTCATGGGAGGGAAAGAAGGGTTTCCAAGGAAAGTAGACTCTTTTGCTTTGGCTAAGAAGCAACTTCATTTTCTCCCTGCCAAATGTAGCAACTGTGCCCACCCATGTCCACACACCCTGCCTCCCCTTGCTGGAAGCACTCCAGCGATCACAGAATCCTACTCACAAAACCTTCTACAGCTCTGCTCCTCTCCCTCTGCTGTCCAGAGACTCTCTAATCCTTGATCTTGCACCCTAGGGCACAATGATGCTTAAAATCTATTTAAAACAATCTCTCCTGCGCTTTTGTGTCCTCTCTAGCTGTGTCCTGTATTTTTTTCCTCTTTTCTTCTTTGTGAAATTTCTTTTCAAGAAGTGTTTCCTCTTTTCTTCACCTTTTAATCTACCCTCAGCCTACACAAATCAGATTGCCATCACTCCACCTCCAGTGAAACCAGTCTTATCAAGGTCAACAATGGTGGGGGGTGACCATATGTTCTTGTTTGCCATGAGAGTCCCAGTTCGCACACTGTCTTGGCAAATTATTAATAACTTCCCTTTCACTCTCAAAAAACTTGTGCATTGAACTACAAATTACATGGGCAATAAATCATCCAACCACTGACCTCCATGTCTCAAACCTCACTGGATACTTCTCTGTTCTTTCTCAATCTGCTTAAAGTGTTTCTTAATGACCTCTAAATGTTGGCATGTGGCCAGATTTCAACTCCCTTCCCCTGTTCCCTCTGTTCCCTTCTTCTTCCCTCTCCCATCCCTTTCTCCTCACGTCCTCCAGCTCTGGTATCCCCAAGTGAACATAGCGTCTCATCCCTCCCTATCCACATCCACAGCTCTCTCCATCCTCTAGCATACAACCCTTAAAACTGTACCCTTTTTGTGCATATTGATTTTCTATTGTGTACTATGCTGTGAATTCAAAATAGAACAAGGACCGTTCTAGATGCTCATCCTTATATCCACACTATCTACTTGAGTTTCATAACATATCAGATTTTGATAAATGTTTGCTGAAGTAATAGATGAGGTATCACTTAGTTGAGTTGAGAATTTTGAACATTCTTCATCCCATCCCAAAGTTGCTTTCTCTGCATTTGTATAATATTCATTCCATTATCAGCATGCTTGAGATTGTCTCCTGGAGGGATTCTTCTAGAGCCTATAAACCTGCAAGAGACAACCATGGAAGGAGAAAATTAATCTAATTTTGTTTCCAAAGAGCTCACCTCAGGGTGCCTGACTTTCTTGTGGCCTTGTAGATGAGCAGAGATATTCAGGTAATCTACAAAGATGATGGTGGATTTTCCAGATCTGTGTCACCTTGGACTCTTTCTTGCTAGCTTCTTAATCTGTACACAAATCTGATTTTGGATTCACACTTGAGTCTACACCCACATTTGAGTGAGGACTAGAGGAAGAGATAGACACATATACCCCTCAATTCCTAAGGAAAATGGAAACATATCACAGACACCAGGAAAATAATATAACAGTGAAGAGTATGTATTAAATCAGAGGTGTGTGTTGAATGTGGGAAAACGGAAGTAACCATCAGTCACAGAATGAGCTGTCATAACTAACTACATGGAAGTAACCAATACCTCCTGTCATCTTCAGTTTTTGACACGGGAAACTGTCGTTCTCAATCCTCAAGATGCTCTGTTCTCTCTTAGGAATATTTAGTTCTCTCTTTCCCTTGATCTGACCACCTTTCTTCTGCTTCCCAGGAACATGCCCTCATTCTGAAAGCTCCAGCTCGGCAATGACCCTCCAGCTGGGAAAAAAATGATGCTCTTTGTTGACTGCGCCGAGTCGTCTGGGCACATGCAGCATTTTGAAGTGTTGCAAAGATGGTAAATATTGCAAGGCAGGAACAATCTGGATTGCAATATAAATAAGGACAGTCCTGACAAATCATTTTAGCATAAAGGCATCAGTTGAACTGAAGAAGTCCTAACCATCAGGCATCACTGTGGTTGAGAAGAAATATTCAAAACCCATCAGCTCTTGCCCTGATTCTGCAATCCTGAAGTAACATCTTGACTATTCACTTGGCTTCCAACTGATCCTGTTGCTATAAAACTATTCCCCAAAGTAAGTCCATAGTTGTTCATGTGAATTTTTTTTTACATCCTTCTTGGCCCATGGGCTAAGATCAAGAGGTCGTTGCTTTCTAAACATTAATTCCTTTATTTTAGTAATTTTGAGCCTATGGAAGTAACCACTAATACAATATAATAAGAATTTTATATAACAACATTTATAACAAGATCATTTGTGTGGAAACTGAGCTTGAGTCTGGTACCTTAGATCACTCAGCCATCTTGACATATTCATTGTTTATAACCAATAAAATTTTGGTAAAACAAGGATTATATGTTTAAAAATGTACTAATAAAATATTCAAGAAATTCTTGCATATATTGACATTAAAAATCATTTGATGTGAAGCTGGTGAGACTATAGCTGGAGAGCTTTTCTTTCTGGGTCTCACTAAGTCCCACCAGTCCCACAGCCCACTTATAAAATAAACACACAGCCGCTTACATTATTTAAACTGGTTGGCCATTAGCTCAGGCCTACCATTGTCTAGCTCTTACTCTTATAGTTAGCCCATTTTTATTAATCTATACTTTGCCACATGGCTCATGGCTTACTGGTACCTTACATCTTGTTTGTCCTGGTGGCGGGCTCCAGGCAGTCTCTCTCTCTGTCTTCCTGTCTGCTCAATTCTCCTCTCTCTTAGTCCTGCCTATACTTTCTGTCTGGCTACCAGCCAATCAGTGTTTATTTATACAGAGCAATATCCACAGCAAGAGACAGCTCAGTAGTTAAGAGTACAGTGTGTACTTGCAGAGGACCAGAGTCTGGTACTAATCACAATTGCCCAAGAGCACCTGCACTCATGAGCACATCCATTTCCACTATATATATATATATATATATATATATATATATATATATATATATATAGTGTTAAATGAAATAATAATACATATAACAGTGTTAAATTAAACAGGTATAGAACTTTAGTTTCTAAGATCTAAAATTTATGAACATTATGTATGTGTGCTGTAAAATATTATAAAGACAGTAGAATATTGACAATGGCCTTATCAAATGATAACTTAAAAGATTTTTTCCCCTATTTTGTGTTTTTGTTCTATTTTATAAATTTTGTGATCTCTAAATTTTGCATGAGTGTTGATCCTTTTTAAACCAAATTCTCTGCATAAATTTAAATTTTTTATGTAGTATTTAGTCAAACAACTTTTTCTGAGATTATTTTTCTTACACATTTTCCACATCTGAAGACTGAGTGTGCTGTGAAGAGTTCACTAAGCTCCAAATTCATGATATAAATCATGGATCACAGGATCCCTAAGACGCATGCCTTAGAGGTATGATTTCAATCAAAGCAAAAATGCCATACTACAGGCAATTGTAAGCATATTCATCTTTAAGTATGACCACAGTGATAAAATGATGTGATTAAAATGCCAATGACAATGCCCAGGTATCTAGAACTCACCCTGGGCCTAAGGAGTTAACTTCCAGGAAAAAAAAATGAGTAAGTAACACAAATCATGACATATCTATTCTCCTGCCCCTCCCCCACCTCTGAAAATATCCAGAATTTGCTTTAAAAGCTATGCAAAAATGGCAACACCCCATACAGACAGAAGCTCAAGGGAGGGAATGAAAGATGAAGCAGCAGATGAGATAATAGACAAGATAATTACAGTGCTTTAAAAGCCTGGGGTTTATTTTTAAGATGTAAGAGCTCTATTTAGAAAAGCCCATAGCTAACTTTATGTGAATCTTGAATGAATTGTTCTGAAACATGTGAAGAGTAATGAAATGAAGGAGAGAAGAGGGCTCGCTTGCTTTCCTCTTCGGCATCTGTTCTGGCTGGCCTGTGGTAGAGATGGCCAGGTGATGCTATGGCCTTGACATGCAGAGCTCTTGCTACTGACCCACACGGGCAGCCCAGGACTTGGAGTTTTATGACAAGCTCTTTCCCTCTCTTAGAGTCTTTGGCACAACCCACACAGTCAGACTGCTGTCATTTCAGAAGAATTCCAATGTCTCTTTCTGTTCCTCCCTCAGTGTGCCCCAAGACAGGGGAAGAACATCTCATCTCAACTAGAAGGTGGACAACACATGGTCCTTTGCTGGGAACTTAACTTTGGAGCTGGCCTGGTCTCAGATAGTGCCATTCTTCCATCTGTAATCTTCTCCCTGCCTCAGTTTCTCCATTGCCATCCTGGGGCTCACAGCTACAGCCCCACAGTTACATCTGTGCTGTATCAGAGGCAAGGTCTATGAACTGTTTAAAGGCAGGCCTTTTGGTCTCTGTTGAATTCCATTCTGTGTTTTCAGTGGTTCCAGATTTGGATAGAGTAGGGGTAGACTCCCATTAACTTCAGAAAATCCTACAAAGCCTGGATTTCCAGAGCAATCTTCAATTTACACTGACCTCTCCATGCTGTTCAGCTAGAATTCTCATTTAACAACAATATAAGATGACATACTTCCATAATTCCTCAAGTGGAAGATGGAGGTTGAGGCTTAGGCCACAGAACATATTTAGTCAGAACATAATCTAATCAACAGAATTTATAGGTAAGATCTACTCAAAAGAGAGCAAAATCCAGTATTATTAGAACAGATTACCAATGGCTCTGGGATTTAATGGAGCATTCTGGCTTCTTGGACAAGAGAATGAATTAGATTTTTATTTTGAAAGTCATTTATAAAGGTCTTGGACTTAGCTCATGACGTTGAAAACTGGCGCACTCTTTCCCAGCAGAGAAGTAATTTAGAGTCCGTCTTCCACTGTAGGAAGGTTTTGCTCTCAATGCAGCAACTCGATTCTCCTTTACTAGAGCGTGATGTTAGCTCTGGACCCCTAAAGCAGAGTCAATAGACAGAACTGAATAAGCAAGGGTAGACAGAACTGAACAAGCAAGGGGGATTAGGGAGATTGCCTTTTGTGAGGGAGTACGGACAGAGGACTGGAGAAAGGTGAGAGCCGTCTGATAGGGTGTGTATCCGTCCACTGGAGAGGCAGAAGTAAGATGAAAAAGGAAGGCTTGGGGCTGGGAAAAGCTTCAACAGTTAACAGCACTTGCTGGGCAAGCATGAGAACCCAAGTTCAAATCCCCAGAACCCACATAAAAGGCAGAATGTGAGGCTCATGGAAGAGGCTTGCTGGTTGTTGGTCTAGTTTAGGTTCACTGAGATATCTAATCTCAAAGGAATACAGCAAGAGAGAGATAGGACAGAGTGCCTGACAGAGTGCCGAGCTTTGTGAATGCACCAGCGTATACCCCCCCACACACACCCATACACACCACCACACCATCCATACACACCATACCATATCACACCACACACATATACACACTATACACAGACCACAGACCACATATACCACACACACACACACTCCACATACCACCATACACCACACCATACCACATCATAACACACACACACACACACACACACACACACACACACACACACACACACACATCATACCCAGACCACACACCATACACAATACCACACATACACACCTTATCACCACCCCCCCACACACACACCACAGATTTTTAAGAAGTCCTGCATCACTGGGAAACCAACCTACCTTAGCATCCCTGCCCTGATTGAACCCTGAGGAGTGTTATCTGCGGCACAGACCAGAGATGTAGTGACAAATTTCAGGATGATCTAAGTGGGGCCTTTGATCAGACAGGTCTCCAGACCTGGGTGTTTTCAACTCTGCCAGTGGGATATTTTCACTCACTTGTAGAGAATGGATTTACAAATAGAGTTTGTATGCAAAAAAAAAAAAAAAAAGAATTTGCTAATGAGCAAGCTCAGGGATTGTTCAGGTTTGCTAAGAGTCCTTCATTTGTGCCTCTCAAGATGAGGGGCTACAGGGAGTATCCCATAATATTCTTCCATTAAGAAAAGAGTCAACTGAGCACTAGCTACCATTAGTAGATAGATATCTGAATTCTTGAGATGGAGTGTGTGTGTGTGTGTGTGTGTGTGTGTGTGAGAGAGAGAGAGAGAGAGAGAGAGAGAGAGAAGAGAGCAAGAGAGGAGTGAGTCTGTGCTGGGGAATTTAGAAGTGAAGCAGAGAACAGAGAGAGATTTGAGATCCCTAGAGCTCAAACACATGTCAGTGTTCAGTCAATAGCTAGCTGGCACATGTGGAGCTAAATTTAAACATATGTTTTTGGTTTCAAAAACCTTGTTCTAGCTGCCAAAGGAAGAGAGGTTCTTAAATTTTTCTTTTAACCATCCTGAATTTATAATAGGGTGGTCTTATGAAGCAAAACATAATAAAATGCATTTATCGGAAACACATTTATGTTTGCACCAGAAGAACAGGGTTATAGAATTTATCTAGAAGTTTCATGGTGGATTATTCTATGCATTTATCTCCTAAAGCCTTTGCATATTTCACATAAGCCTTTGTAATGTAATTTTTACGATGCATTTCTTGAATAAATCATGTTTACTATCCCCAAGATCTTTTTATCTACGTATGGAGGAGATGAGGTGATGTTCCTTTGTTGTAAACTAAGAATCTGAAATGGCTTATAGATGCAGCCTCATTAAACGTCTTGATTTTACCACATAAGGAAGGGCACATGGGATTCAAACGTCCTCTGGATTAGAAATGCTAGCTTTGGAGTCTAGCGTAGATTAATTTCTCTGGCAACAAGACCATTCATGTGCAGAATCTTTGGCCTTGGGGCTCTTGACCACCCTGTAATGGCATCTACTGTGCTTCGTTCTAACATTATCCTTTGATGTCCGCTGATGGAAGTATTTAAAAATGTAACTGTGTGAAACTTGATGTTTTATATTTGAAGGAACGTTGTTGAGGTCACTGTAGATTGAAATATCCTTTAAGTTTTAACTAAAAATTAAATGAGAATGAAAGAAGCAGCCTTCCCAGGGAAGAGCATACCAAATTGGATGTCCAGTGCCAGGTAAGTATGTTGAAAACATATATACAAATAACATTATATGGACTCAACAGGCTGTATTTGGGATATCTGTGTGTATGAAACTACATATATTCATGCAATAACAATTAGTGAAAAAAGAGCTCATAATTGGAAGGAGAGCAAGGAAAGGTATTTAGGAGGGTTTGGAGGAAGGGAAATATTATAATTGAGTTATAATCTCAAAAATAAAATAAAATAAACATATCATTTCCTTAGGGAAATTTCTTACTTACTTCAATTCTTGAAAGTACTTTATTCCTCCAATATGCCTTCCCAGGCAAGTGTCAACCTCAGTTGTGAGCATGTTTCCTCTTTGTTTGCCTAGTAGGAAGCTCAAAGGAAAACTCATGAGTGGTCTTTAATCCTGGTATAGAACTCATCCTGCATGTTGACGTCTTGAATTTACTTTCAGGAGAGATGTTTCCTGTTGTTGTTTTTGTTTTGTTTTTCTTGCTGCTGTTTTTGTCTGCTTTTTATTTTATTTTTTGAGACAAGACTTCACATTGCCCAGGCTACCTTGAACTCCCTATGTAACTGAGGACGACTTGACATTCTTGAGCTTCCAATTTTCTCCTCCCAAGATCAAGGAATGTGTCACCACACTTGGCCTTGATATGACTGTCTTTCAAAGTTTGTAACTATTGCCTTTGGGAAAATATGTGGCCTATGTTAAAAATGAAATGTTCTAAAGGTATACAAAAACCTGAAACACAACCAATTCATTCCAGATCACCAACACACATTCCTTTTCTTTTCTTATCTCTATGACTACAAATGTCTGGGTCAGTCTCTTTTGTGCAGAAGGCAGGTGGCCAAAGACATAGCAGTAATCATGTCAAAGTACACATTTCTGGCTTCATGAAATAAGATTGTAAGCTGGTTCTTACAGACATATTGATGCATCCTGTAAGCCCATGCTCGTTTGTGTGTGAGTGTGTAACAAAAGTTTTTGATCTACCAGGAAATAAAAAACAAAACAAAATAGCGACAGCTACCTAGTCTCCCTCTTTGGCCCTTCTCCATCATTTACAGGTCTTCTAGATTCCAGTTACATCGACAAGTTCAGTTCTCTCTAAAAGCGCATCTCTTGCAATGCATGGCTGATGTCTCAGGTACCTGAACTCTCTCTTTTGTGTGACACACTCTTTTACTTTTGATCTCTAGCTCTTTCCTCATTGTCTTCCCTGGCGTGGCTTTTCTTCTTCTTGGGCTTCCTTCTGTTCCTCACAGCCTTTGACACCAAGCAAGGTAACATCAGACACTCTTGTTGCTCGCTTTTACTTATCTTTTGAGAGGCCATTACAAACTTGCAAAGATAAAAATAACAATGTGAAGGATGTATTGTGCAAATCTTTTTTAAAGCCTGCAAAAACAGAAAAAAAATCAATTAGAATCACCATGGTAACTACCAACAATTTTATATGCAAGAAGGAAATAAAATAAAATAAGAAAAAAGACAAAATTTTAAAAATGCATAAAGTGATTCAAGTACCAGGAAGCATTTGCACAGTTAAATACTACAGAATGGAGTCTACAAACACAGATCTTAGTAACATGAAGTTGCAACATGTGCTAACTTTTTAGTATATTGGGTAGGTATTGTGACATAAACGCTATTAAAGAACTTAAATGATGTGGTTTTTCTTAATAAGTCTTTTGAAACAAGCTTAGATGGATTGAGAGAATGAGATAGATACATAAAGTGCCATTTAGAATAATATTTTCCCCAGGAGTATGTTAAGACCATACACTAAATTTGATAGTATGAGATAAAGAAGTGGGAAGGAGCATTTTGCAAAAGTTATTGATGGGGATTAGAAAAGAACATAAAAAAAAATCTCAGAGGTGCATGATCTGGGTTTCTGTCCTTACACCCTAGAGCTAAGAAACAAAATTACATCCTGCATTAGTATGTTAGTGGTTTCCAATCCTGGTCATATATAAAATTCTCCTGGGTCATGCAGATCAGTTTTGTAACATGACCATGTCTGAAGCCCATCCAGGGCTGTTAAATTATAATATGTGAGGGTGTCATCTGAGCATGACTGTTTGCTAAGGCCTTTCCCACAGTGGTACAGCAGCAGGCTTGGGCTTTGAGAACCAGCCCTGAATCTATCCCTCATCACCTGGCACTTCAGGACTTAACCTGCTAGGGTCCCTCTGCATAACATCCTAAATGATGCTCTCTCTTTGGGTATGCCTGGAATAGCTTACCTGTCAAAGGAGAAGTAAGGATATAAATAACAGTCATGTTTCTGAGCAGCTAACCTAGAAATAGAGAGTTACTGAAGTGAACCCAATGTGGTCCACAAGGATCCTTACGAGTGGACAAGAGAGGTGTGGACAAGAGAGGCGGGAACAAGGGAAGCAGAAATACGGCCATGTGAGAAAGATTCAATCTGAAGTTGCTGGAGGAAGGGGGTGGGGGTCACTAGCCAAGCCTGGGACAGCCTCAGGCTGCTGAACAAGGCAAAGAAATGGAATCTTTTGGAGAGTTTCCTGGGGGAATAATGCTTCCTTGCAACACCTGGACTTTATCCCAGTGGGAACTGTTTTGCACTTCAGACCTACATAACTGTAGGATAATCCATTTGTATTTCTTAAGTAACCAAAGCAACACAGATTTTTGTGGTGACTGGTGAGAGCAGTGAGAAGAAATTAACACATCTTGTTTCCATAAATTATCCAAAAAATAAAAATTCCCAGGCCTTATGTAAGCTAAAATTGCCGGTTCAGCTTAAACATCAACGAAGCTGCTCCCTCCCAGCCACTGTGCTGCTAGTGTGAGCCGGTCCTTACATGCCAGGAAAGATGCAGGTTGCTCAGCAGTGCTGCCTAGACATCCCAGCATCTATGGTCCTCTAAGAAACACCATCAGCTCCAGCCACTTTGGCCTCAGCCAAAAGGTCTCTATAGTTTTCAGCCCTTGTTCCTCATTCATACTCAGTTTTTATCATGGGTTTTTGTTGTTGTTTTGTTCTGTTTGTTTTTCCTATCAGCAAACCACATTCAGGTTTGGATAATCCTCCCTTTTCTAAGTTGAATAATTAGGCTGCCATGATACATCTTGTATAGGGGGCAAAAGCCTACCTGTTCCAAGACATGTTTTTGCATCGTCATCCGTCCCCTTTAATTTCTGGGTGCTGTAGCCTCATCTGACCATTTCCCCAGAGCCCTTGCCTGTACTGCACTCCTAACGAAGACCCAACTTCCATGATGCTCCATTCACCTCTCTCTTGTCTTCCTGAACGTGGGTTCCAAAGCAGATTCTTTGACATATTTCTCCCCAAAGGAGGAAAAAACACACATGAATCCATCTCCAGTGCAGCACCTTGCTCCACAACACCCTCACTGTCACCTGAGAATGACAGGGGCTTCTAATCTTGTTGCTGGAGGGCTTCTCTCCAGGTTCCACCAAGCCCCGCAGTCCCACAATCCACGTATAAAATAATCACTCAGACACTTATATTACTCATAAACTGTATGGATGTGGCAGGCTTCTTGTTAACTGTTCTTTTATCTTAAATTAACCCATTTCTATAAATCTACACCTTGCCACGTGGCTGGTGGCTTACCGGCGTCTTTACATGCTGCTTGTCCTGGTGGTGGCTGCCGTGTCTCTCCTCCTTCTTCCTGTTTCCCCAATTCTCCTCTCTCTTTGTCCCGCCTATACTTCCTGTCTGGTCACTGGCCATCAGTGTTTTATTTATATAGAGCAATATCCACAGCAAATCTGCTTGAGGAAGCCACAGTTTATTCTTACTCTTTATTTGATCTTTCAGATATTAAAACAATGTCTGTGTGCCTGGCATCCTGGATGAGCTGGAGAATTAATTTGAGGAATGTCTTACCATCATTGAAGACATTGTTCAGAAAAATGATGCTGGTGTTCCCCCTTTGACATCACAGGCTGACGGGACTCTCACTGGACTGGGGCATCTCTATGCAGCTGCTATGCAGCTGCAAGGAGAACACTTGATGTTAATAGTGTTATGGAATGAAACTCGAATATCCTCGTCTGAGCCACTTTGCTTTCTCTAGAGAGAAGGTGTCAGACATCCTTTCCGGGATGGTACTTTCGAGCATCATGACGCTGCTCCTGTTGCTCCTGCCTGGAAACCAAACACACCACTGGAAGCTTAGGTGTGAAAACACCCAGATCTGCATGTCAACATCCAATTCCTGAGGATCCTTGGGGAGAGCCTCGCTAGGGGAGAGGACAAATTTATAAAGGAGATTAGCTGCATGTAAACAGTGAAAGCATGGAGATGTGGTTAGCACTTTCCAAGTTTTGGAGCTGGGTATTCTGTTGTGGATAGCTATAGCACTAGGTTATAATAGAGTATGTAAGCTCTACCTCAATAAAACAGATCATTAAAACAACAACACTGTATGCTTACTTTGACTCTAGAATTAGTGTCTCCAATAGGTTGGTGGGTGTTCTGGAATTTCAGTTCAGTTTTATCAGCTTCTTGGGCACAGAGAAATAGATAGCATTGCTCATCCCTCAAGGTATTTTAATTAAATTCACTGTCTTCTAAAGCATGCAAAACTGATTTAACATCATGCAAAGTGTTTTCTAGTGCCAGAATCTGCTTTGAAAGTAACTGCAAGGCAAGATGGCTCAGCCAGGAAAAGGTACTTACCATGGAAGCCTATTGATCTGAGGTTAGTCCCTGGAACACATGTAATGATCGAAAGAGAGACATGACTCCACAAAGCTGTCCTCTGAGTTCCTTCCACACATGTGCTGTGGCGTATGAGCCCTTCCCCACAACAACAACAAATAACAATAACGACAAAAACAAACAACAACAATAATTTAAAGTAATTAATGTCACTAATGGTTTCTGCTTAGAACTAAAGTCTATGAGAGCACTTATTTTTATCTTCTCTTCAGTTATCAAGGAAGTTAATAAAAGCAAGTGTTGTGGTAAACAGGTAGAAGAGGGACGGTACAATCCTGGGTTTCCTTGTGAAGACACGGAAAGCAAGGAATCCTTGGGAACAGTCACCTGAGTCGGTGACAAACTCTGGCGTGATCTAATGAGTAAACGGTGTGCTAGGAAGAATGCACACACAAATCCATGTTGTAAAGTTCAACATATGTTCCACATGATGATTGGTAAATAGAAGAGTCTAACCGCAAAAAACAATTCAAAGAGAAGCACACAAACAAGCTTGGCTAAAGTTAACAGACTAAAAACATATGGTCTACTTTTTTCCCCTTTTCATGGTTATAACATACTTTGATATCAAGGAGACATATCCTTTCAGTGATTATGATGGCTGCCTGTCCTAGGCTTTCAGCTCAATTCTCCCACACACTAGCTTTGGGGGCTCATTTACTTTGGACAAGTTAGTTTGATTCCTAGTTGTGGGTGTGTATGTGTGTCCATGTTCCCATGTGAGTGTGGAAGTCAGAGGTCAGTGTTTGGGGTCTTCCTCAATTTTCTTTTCCCCTTACTCGTTCAAGAGGCTACAGGGCTCCTCTGTCATGGTCCCTTGCCCTCCAGCTCTGGGATTGCATACACATGTCTGCACACACAGCTTTTATATGGGTGTTAGAGATGCAAACTCGGGGCCCCATGCTGACACAGGGGCTGCTTGATTGACCAAGTCTGCAGCCAGGGTCCTCGTCAATGAGAGGAAACACTGTGTGCAAAGTGACGTGTGCATAATTGGTGATCCTTTCATCTAAGTTACCTCCTTTTCTCTAAAAGAAGCCTCTTGTGCCGAATACCTGAAAAGCCAGTCTGTGGGAAATATGAAAAAAGAATAAAGGAAGTTGAATGGGTAAGGGAACATGAAAGACGGTGAGTATTTATTTCCTTAGCATTAATTTGTGTATCAGGTAAATTAACCAAGCTGGTCATAAGTGAGTTATTTTCAAAATTCTTCCACTTACCTGTCTGTTCCCCTCATCATATTTATATTTGTAGACGCAGACCCCAGAAAAGAGAACAGAACAAAAACCCAATTGGAGGAGACTTGTCACTCAGAAAAACAAAATGGGTAGTGGTCCTGGGAGTATGGAACACAGAGCTTAGTGCCATTTTTCTCAGAAGGGACTTGAAAAACTTAGAGCAGAGTTGGACATGTAGTAAAGATAAGCTTTATCACAGGAAACATTTAGTTCTGATGTACAAACACACAACACAGATGTGCATGTCAAGCCACAATGTGCAGTATATTGCTACTGTAGATTGTGATTTGAAATATAGTTTAAATCCCACTGCTCAAAAAGCAAGGACGTATCCAACCTCCTTTTCAATCAATTAGGTTCTCTCTTGGTTTTGTTCAAAGACACAGTCTTTGCTTCTAGGAACTGCAGACTTCTACCTCAAGCTCCTCGTCTCTGAGTTGGTGTCAAGCTGCATAAGTATTATTTCAGATCACAATGCACCTGAGGCAGTCCATCCACCCATTCTAGCAGGACAGAAGTTAAAAACATTGTCCAATGAAGTTAAAAAAAAAAAACAAAAAAAAAAAACAAAAAAAAAACACGTGAAAGTAAATGACTTTTGCGATTTTTCTCCAAATGCTTGGTAAGTCCTCTGAAAGACAGCCTTCCAAAATATCAAGAGAAATTGAAAGCAAACTCACTCTACTTTTTTCCTAAAGGAGATTTTTCCAAGTCATTCAATAGCTACAGACAAATGAAAGTACTGTAATGCCTACATAGGCTGTGCTAAAGCAGTGGACCAGCAGAGTCTTAGGAAAACAAAACAAGGACTGTAACATAGACATCAGACACAACAAGACAAAAACCTGCGGTGCTGACAGAATTAGTTAGTCTTCAGACAGAAGCAAGTGTTAGATTTTTACAGCTGGAAAAAGCAGGGCTATGATTGGCTAAGTCACTTGCCTCGTCCACCCACAATTTAAACGTGCTCTGCCCCACCCACCCACCCCCAGTCTAGCCTGGCCTGGCTACACCTTCCCTCTCCTGGGATTTCTGGCCTCTGCTGCTGACTTGGTGGCTGGGAAAGCCAGTTCCTTCACTCCTGTGAGTGCTTCAGGCTTTGCTGCCCTAAGGATCCATCTCTGTCTGGTTATTGATACAAACTGAATAGCAACAATGATATTTTTCTTGGATTTACATTTATAAGCTGAAGAAACTCTACCAAGGTAGGATTTCAACATTATGGAAAAGGTTAGACATTCAACGGAAGGGAGCTGAAGGCTGAGGGAAGACAGGTACTTACTACTGCTCTGAAATCCCACTAACAAGGCATTGCTAGGGCTTCCCATCTTTAATGCCTAGTTCTCTCACGATGGTGGGAGACTGCCCAACCTCTGAACTTACGTCGGTGTCCACCTGGCTCCTCCACGCTTTGCATTCCACATTTGTTTAAATGTCATCTGCTCTGCTTGCATGCTGAGGTTTTCTTGTCTAAAGGTAATACAAATTATTAGGTAGGACACCAAAGTTAAAAAAAAAAAAAGGAAACTATTTAGCAGAGTCCATATTTTCTGTTTCTGTAATTCTACTTCATGAACCTCAAATAAATGTACATACAGCAAGTGAATGTCAATTTTAAAAAAAAAAAGTCTGTGGGAAGTAACCATTTTCCTCTTTTTCTCAGTGTTACTTCTTTGCTAAAAAGTTGATATTTGGTGCTCGGATTCTCAGGCCAGAAAAAAAAAAGTTCTATCTAAAAATAAAGAAGGGCTGAGCCTATCTTCATCACACTAGGTTCCCGGGGCTTCTTTGGTCTTAGTAGTCCCAGGTGGACATGGTGGAAAGACATCTTCCAGGGGTGTATATAACCAGAGGGTGATAACAGAAAACTCTCTGGCATGCAAGGACAGACTGAGTGAATTCTTGCCCACTTACAGCCTGTCTCAGTATCATACAGTATCATACATGGCCAATCAAATTGACCATCAAGATGACGCATTGCAGTTGGCTTACTTGTGCTTTTCTCCCTATTGACTCTCTAAGTGGCTCTCTTCTTTTGGATTGAAAGACCATACTGTCGCTTCTTTCCCAAAGTGCCCCCTTTGTCACAATTCAAGTGTCCTAATATGTGTGTGTGTGACTGCTTCTTTACTCAGTCTCTCTTGCCATGGGCCTATGGATTTGAATTTCTACCACAGGTACATTCACACAGTACCAAGAGAACCAGCTCTGTTCTTTTCGTCCTTCAGAGATACTTTCAGCAGTTTTAATTTAAAAACAAAACCTTAGAAACACTTTATGCAATTCTATTAATTTATCTCTTGGGGTTTTTGAGGAAGATTATGTTGAATCAATTATTTTAGAAGAAACTATTAGTTGTATATCCCTTATCTAAAATGCTTCAAACCAAAAAGTACTTCATATTTTATAGTTTGCCTACATATAATGAGATGCCCTCAGGCCTGGCACTCTAGTCTGAAGACCAAGTTCATTTATGTTTTGTATACACCTTATGCACATAACCTGAAGGTAATTTTATATCATATTTTTCATAATGTTCTCTATATAACAAAGTTTCATGGCACAATTTCCACTTGTAGCATTTTCATTTTTAGATCCAGAATGGCCAACTTACATAATTTTTATAATTATGATCCCAATTTCTAATTTAGAATTATAGTATTTCTCCCCATTTATTAGATCTTCCAAAATGTCTCATGATAAGTAGTTACACTTTTATCTGAAAAAAGCCTTAGGCATCTTTTATTTGGAGTGTTCTTGAGCATATAATATTTTTTGTAGCTTAAAATTGAGTCTCTAAAATACTGTATATTCTTTGATTGGTGACACATACAAAATTTGATAGTTTATGTTGAATATTAGCCAGCAAACATCTATATTCAACTGTGAATTAGTTGTTCTTTTGGATTTTCTTCACAAACAATTTTATATTCTGTAAATAATTACGTTTTTTCTCCTGTAGTTTTCTTCCTATTTTTCTTTGTCTTGACTGAAAATACTACCAAGTAGTTTTTAAAAGGTGAACGGGGAGGGGGGGGTTGTGAGATGACTCAGTGGCTAAGGACTTGCCACTGAAGCTTGGTGAGTTTGGTTTAGTACCTAGAATCCATGTAAAGGTTGAAGAAGAGAACTGATTCCACAAGCGGTCCTCTGGCCCCTACATACCAGCCATGATGTGCTTACACACACACACACACACACACACACACTCCAGCATGCACAATAATAATACATTTTAATGAATGA